GAATCCCGCCGAATGCCGCGAGTTTTTTTCACAATTGGGTCAACTAAAATAATCAAATGGCATTGCCAAGAAAGACTAGGAAGACTGGGATGGTCATTTCTGCCTTATTTGTCGCCATCAACCAACCATACCCAACCCCGCGTAGTGCCCCACCCGGGACTCGAACCCGTGACCTTTGGGTCAGAAGTCTAACACTCTAACGGTTAGAGTCTGACCGTTAAGCAAGATGAATGAGTTCTGTTAACGATCGCTGAACGTTCAGCAACCAGTGTCAATATTTCCCGAGCTAAACCGGCAAAATAACGATTCCATGGCTCAGTGGTTAGGTCGCGAATTCCAACTCCAGGCGGGCCACCATTTGGGGTTGACAACGGCTAAAGAGCCAAGACTGGCCATTCCAGTCTCTCCCTTGCGATGCCGAAAATGCTATCTGTCTAGACAACTAGCTGCTGTACGGCTGGCGGCGTTAGTAATAGGGGGAACGGAGTAGCCATTTAAAGTTTACTTTTCATCAATAATCCGCTCTACTCAGTAGGCAGGCCCCATGCAAACCCCCTCCCCGGTAAACCATTGAGCCTTATAAAAATTATGTGGACGGAAAGGTCATTTACAGGCTGCTTGCACCTTAAGGGTACGATTCACCACAGTCTCTCTGCGCCCTTTCGAGCACAGTGTCTTTGATCATACTACTGAGAGATAGGGACAATGAAAGAAACCCGGAGGCCGGTCTAGGTCACCACAATTCTTGCCGGCTGATGAACTAAGTCGCACTATGTGTAAAGATGCAACAAGCTCTTTTTACCATGTCAGCTGTAATCCGCCATGTCTGCCGCAAAGATTGTGGTGGTCTAAAGACCAAAGTGTTCAGGAAAGCGACAGACACGATGCAAGTACTGGACTTCAAAAGCAACCACCCAGCAACCAAACGCTGTTGCGTAAGGACGCTTTAACGACATGTTGAGACGCATTGAAGTTAACCAGAGGACAGAGTTGCCGAAATACAATATCTTCGACGGGTGTTCGGCGAAAATGGCTACCCGCGCAGCTGCGTCAACCGGTACTAACACAAACGCGATGGACAACAACACCGCACCGACGGCAAATTTGGCGAGCGATCCCGTACGCCAAAGATGTATCAGC